AAGTATGTGTTGGTTAGGCAGTTGTTGGTCAGGTCCAGGATGTGTTTAGGGGGGGTTGTGTTTGTTCTGGATAGCTGTCAAGGCTTTTTTTATAGGCACTTGGGTGAGGAGGGATATGGCATTGAAGCTCACAAGTAGGTGGGTTGTAGGTTTTGATTCTTTATTGTTTCTATGAAGTGGAGTGAGTTTTGTACGTGTGAGGTGATGGATTCTGTTGTAGGGTTGAAGTTGTTTGGTGAGGAATTTGGCAAGATTCTGTAGAGGTGAGCCTCTACAGAATATGTATGGATGTATGTATGTACACACACACACACACACACACACACACACACAAATGATATAAAAGCTCTTAGGTATAGCTGAGAAATGGAACTCAATACAGAATCTTACAACACCGTAGCAGATTTAGAAAATGAAACCAAAGGAGAAACATTAAGAGCATTCTGGGAGTTGAAGTTCACAGATTGTAAAGGAATCATAGTTGCCTCTATCTCTGCTCTAGAATGTGTGTGAAATGATAATCAATGTATGCTAACTCTGTCTGCACTTTCTCCCTCCCTCTTCCCTCCATCTCATTTTCCTCCTCTAAGGGGAAGCTTCAGGGATTTTCATAAAAAACGTAATCCCTGACAGTGCTGCGGATCACAATGGTCAGATAAAAGTCAACGACAAAATTGTTGCAGTAAGTTGAAATTTGCATTTGTCAGAAGGGGATTCTCCTGGTTTCCTTGCTATATTCTCTTTTGGGGGAGGGGAGGGGAAAATCAATCAGAATAAATACTTTAACCTGGGATAACGGAACAGTCTGTTAGAGCAAGTCCTACGCTCATCTAAACCAGCTTTCTGGGTTCTCAGCTGGATATTTTGGGAATGTGACAAGTCTGGAATAGAGGCTACAGTTTCCTTCCACTATTGCAATTACTATATTTTGGATGTGCTATCTATAATTCAGCATGTGCTAAATACTGATTACTATTAATGGCCATTGATTGTCTGAACCTCCATGATTACCGGTATGCCTGGCCATCTTTTAAAATGATCCAAATATGCTGCTATTAACATTATTGCTGGCAGCAAGTTGCATAACTTAATCAATGGCCCAGGGCCCTGTTATTTAAAGAACTGCCTCTCATCCATAGTGCCTGCCTGGCCGATCTAATCTGGCAGAGTTGGTGTGCTCCAAGTTCCTTCAATTAAGCAATGACATCTCTCAGGACTCTGGAAGCATGTCTTCTCTATAGGTCTTCCCTCTGGGATGAGGTTCCCCCAATATTTGATGCTTCCTTGCCCTGCTGGTGTTTCAAAGGGGCTTGAGGACCTGGCTGTTCGCCCAGGCCTTTGGCAAGGACAACCTCCTTTTAACTTGATTTGTTTTCCTTTGTTTCCATCTGATTTTGTCCTGCTGCCATCTTTACCCTGGTTTTCATTGTTTCTTAATTTTAGTGTTTAAAATGATCTGTCAACCTCCTAGAGTCCCTGGAAGTCAAGAAGCATATAAATTTGTTACATTATTACTGTTACTTATATATACATAAGTATATAAGGATGATGTATGTATGTATGTATGTATGTATGTATGTATGTATGTATGTATGTATGTATACATATCTCTATATGTTCACCCCACATTGAGTTTCAGTGGATCATCTTATGAGAGAAGGAAAAAAGTTTTTTCTCTCTACATTATCTATTTTATTTTATTTATTAAATGTTTATGCCACCCATCTCCCCTATAAGGTGACCTGGGTGGTTTTGCAAGTTAATGGCGGCTTTATATAAAGCGCAAGAGTTGAGAAACATTGCTACCCTTTCCCCCTCCTCCCCAGTCCTTTGGGGGTGGGGAGAGAATCATATCTTAGATTACAAGATTTGGTTTCATTTTGTATTTTCATTTTAAACACATTAAACACATCTGCTTGCCAACTTACCTACCCTTGAAAGTGGCGGTTCTTGGTTTCACTTAAGGACTGAATAGATGAGTTAGCATGTATGAATCTGTTTTGCTTCATGTTTTGCCTTTGTGCAATAATTAGCCAGTGAAAGTGAAACAAAGTGAAAGCAACCTGTTTTTGTGCTATGGATTATCATTTTCAAAAGAATTGTGTATGTATACTTCAGGTTAACAGAATTAATATTCAGAATTATACCAACCAAGAAGTTGTGGAAGCTTTACGCAAGACAGGACCAGTTGTTCATCTGACATTGCTTCGAAAGAAACCACATTATGTGGAAAGAGCGCTGGATAGAGGTAAAGCTCCTCCCTCTGTCTACATTCTCTTTTTAGTTAAGCTAAAATGCTCAGGATTGTTTTGAATGAACACTTTGATATTTGGAACTGATTTCTACTGTACCACTGAATTACAAGCCTGGTTAAGCCAGCAAAACGGGTTAGTCCTGGCCTTTTCTGAAACACACATGTCACGTAGGGAAACTGCCCCAGCTTTCACAGATTGTGAGCAAAATGATACAATCAGTTGAATTATAAGGATCAGTTAACCTGGTTCCTTTGGATACATGTTTGTTCCAAAAGGCTGAACAATTAACATAGCTTAACTAGTTAAACAATTTTTAAATCCTTAAAGGCTTACTGGCCAAGGAAAGAAAGGTGCTAGGAAGGAAGATCAAATTTTCACTCGTACCCCATTTTATTTTTACAGGTGTTGCTATGCACATGTCCCCAAATAGGTGGCAATAATTGCAACCGAAAGGATAATATTTGCTATATTTTAGGTGCAAAATGTGAAATTAAAAAATAGATGACTGAATTTTATTCTAGAACTCTACAGGATTTACCCTCTATTGGCTTGTAAAGCAAACCATAGTATATATATTTTGTTGTGTTTCTGTTCCACTTTCAGTTATACCTTCTAACCAAAGGTACTTGGTTTGTTTTTAAGACCTTATTTGTTTTGTAAAATTCTATTGGGCTTAATTTGTTTTTATATTATTATTATTATTATTATAAGCTGAGAATGGCAGATTAAATGATTATGGAACATTTTTAGTAACCTGAGAACAAAGATTTCTTCCTTTAGATCTGACATTCTGAATAAAATCCATACAACACTGACCAGAATTCTGTTCTTTCAGTGACTGTTCTCAGACCTTCAATCCTTCCACAAAAGATTAAGCCCATGGCAGGTGGAAGGGAAGTCATTTAGAAAGCTAGAAGTATTCAGCCATTGTTCCTTTTTTAATATTGAAGAAGTTTTTGGGATAGTGGAAATGGAGAAGCATATAACTTTACTAGTTTGAATATCAGCTGAGGGGTTGAGATTTGATAATAGTAAGTTTGGAAACTTGAATGTCCTATCAATTCAGATATATTTTAGAATCTTTAAAAAAGGAACAGTTCAAAGATTTTGCTTAGTAAAAAGTGATGGGAAGCTTTGGGAACTTTTCCAGGGCATTCACGCATGCTCAACTTGACTGCTGTGGACACCGATAGTGAAAATGAGGAACCTCAAGAGCAAAAAGATAACACTGAAGATGAAAGCAAGCAAAAGCATCACGCAATTGGTAAGTCAAACATTCTATTGGAAAATAAGCTTTTTGGTATCTTATTGCTTCAAAATTATTACTGCGTAAATAACAACTAAGGATTATCCAACTAATGATTGAGTATATCAGAGGTGGGTTGCTTCCGATTCGGCTGAGATGAGGTGAACTGGTAGTGGTGGTGCCAGGAGGCTCTGCCCACCCACCCAGATGTTTCTGCGCATACGCAGAAGCATCACACATGAACGAACCAGTAGTAAAAAAAATTGGACACCCACCACTGGAGTATATGAAATAAAATCCTGTACAGTTTACAGGTTAAGGTCTTGGATTAGAACTAGGGAGATCTGAATGTCTTCAGACACAGAAGCTCATTTGGTCAGTTTTGGCCTGAGGTAATTTATTAGGTAGCAGTGGGAGAAAATTACAGGAGGAAATGTTGCCTTGAGCATTTGAAAGAAAGGTAGGTTAGAACTCTAACAAATATATAAAATGCAACAATATAAATAAAGTCCACCTACTCTTGAATAAATAAAGCAAACAACTTACAACCTGGTACCAAAGTTCTCACAACCCACACCTCCTGTGGTTATGTGACTGCGTTTGGGTGCTTGGCAATCATTCTGCACTTATTGTCATTTGCAGTGTGACCTGGTCATGTGACTACGAATTATGACATTTCCCCCAAATCTGTATTTTCGGTTTCTGGCAAAAAAAAAAAAATTGGCCGCAGAAAACAATGAATTGATTTAATGACACCTGTCATTACTTACCTCCTAATTGCCAGGTTGGAAGTCTAGTACTATCTATATGTATGGTTTGCCTTTAGATGCAGAGTGGCAGGGATCTATAGCCCTGCAGAATAATTCCCTTTAAATACAGGCTAAAGTGTCCAAAGCTTTGGGTAAAGGAAGTAACAAGAAAATCATTTGTTCTACATTTTTCAAAAACTAAAAGTCAGATACTGAAGTCAACCATATTCCTGTTCATAGTGAAATACATAGTTCTTTAGATGGGCAGGAAGAAGGAAGCTGAACTGGATGGATATATATAAACAAAGCTTTACTGCTTAGTTAGTTTAATGCCAAGTAAATGTTTCATTGAAGCACAATATATTATAATTTTAGAAATTTGTTTCTTCTTATTTGATGCTGTAAGTTGTAATGACTTGGAATAATATCAAATTTTATTGTATTTGGGAATTTATACTCAAATGAGAATGGGACAAGAGCAAATTAAGTCACTTGTGGCATGCAATTGTTCTAAAGAACAATTTTGTTTTTTCTTACAAAAAGTAAACTAGTTAGGATAAAGAAATTATAAAATGTATTTTCAATGATAAATACATTGATCTATCTTTGCTGTTTAGAAACTAATAATAGTCATTTTGTAAAAGCACAGATGATTCTAAAATACTGTTTGTAAAAGTTCATCCTGGAGCAGAATTTAATAACCGGTTTACATTCTAAAAATAGACAGTGACATTGGAAATGTTGACAAGTATAATACCAGTAAGGAAAACATTTACTGCTAACTTAATGCCCATTAAACCTAAAGTACAAATCGTGTTTTACAAAATGTCTTATTACTGCACTTGCTGTATTAAACTTTAATATTTCTATTTTATCATGATAATATTGCGAGCTAAAAAAAACAAGTATGTCTAAAGTGGGGAATAATTCATAAGATATATTTAATCATGATCTTAATGATATGTATCTTTGTAAGAACAGCCAAAGTGCGTGACGGTTTTTAATATGGAAGATCCGTTCAACACATTAACACACATTTTCAGGCACAAAGGGTACTGTTTCAGGAAGACTCCTTTTATTTATATTTGCCAATATGAAGACAAATAACAATATTCTAAAAATTACTCAAAAATAAGCAAAGGCATGCAAAACATACAAGGATGAGAAATTTCCAACCTAATACAGCAGTGTTATCAAAAAAAGGTATTCCTGTGTTCAAAATAATTGGTTTTAATAAAAAAAAATGAATCCTGTGTAAGTTTTCAGATATATGGAGTATGCCAGTAGAATTAATAATTACCTTGGTTCTAGTATGTTCTTATGGTGTCATAAACATTCAATTCAATATTTGTAGTTATTTGGAATGACACAGTAACAAAATCCACCCAGCACTCAGGGACAAATCCAAACAACTAGCCCTCTGGAGAGCCGAAACAGAAACCTCCCACAAGACAGACACACACACCAACAAACTCCACAGACTAGAAAAACACCAGAAGCCCAATCCCTCTCCACAGAAACTCATGAAACAATCAGTACATAACATATCAGATAGGACCCTCACCATAGCAGAAACCAATGTCCTTTCCAAAGGATTCAACT